TGTTAATTTATAATGTATTTCTTAATTTTACTCATCTATGTATAAGGCTCGAGTGTATTGAATTATTGGAGCTTATTGGCATAATTTGGAAATAATTGAGTTTCCTTGGCTAGCTCCTATGAAGCACAGACACGGACACGCGACACGAAAATACAAATTTTCAAAAAATAGGAGACACGACACGCTGGGGACAAGTTCAATATATATAATTAATTTTATTTATTATATGTCATAAAATTATAAAAAAAAATCATTAAAAGGTAATAAAATATACAAAATAACACTATTAAAATTAATAAAATAACACTATTAACCACTCGTAGCATTGTTTCAGAATTAAAAATTGGTTCCTATAATAAAATTAATAAATATACATTATTAAAATTATATACTCAAGTAATAGAAAAGAAAAAATAAAATCAGAATATAAAAAAAAATAAAAGAAAAGAAAAAATAAACTAAAATCATAATAAAAGAAAAAAATAAAAGAAAAGAAAAAATTAAATTAAATTAAATTAAAACCAAAATAAAAGAAAAAAGAAAAGAAAAGAAAAAATTAAATTAAATTAAAATCAGAATAAAAGAAAAAAAAAGAAAAAAAAATCAGAATAAAAGAAGGGGGCAAGAGAGAGAAGACAGAGGCGAGAGAGATCGACTGAGGAAAGAAGACAGGCTGAGTGAGAGAGAGAGAGAGAGAGAGAGTGACTGAGGGAGATCGAAGATTGAAGAAGAAGAGGTGTACCTTAACGACGAAGGGCGAGAGACGACTGACGACCGACGAGGAGAGACGATCGACAAGAAGAGAAGACGAACGACGAAGTCAGGTCCTCTCTTTCTCACCCTTTCTCTGCTGTTTCTCTTCTATTCGAACTACATTCGAAGTAGATTAGGGCAAATTTTGATCTGTTTTTCCTTATTTACAAATCAACCCCAAAAAAATTTAGTAAATTGTGAAATTACCCCCGTACGTGTCCGAACATGTCTATAACGTGTCCTGAACATGTCCAGATGTAAAAAAAATTTTAAAAAAAAAGGGGGACACTCTCTGCTGCTTGTCGGACACGTGTCCACCGCGTGTCCGTGTCCGTGTCCGACACGTGTTTGACACTGGTACGGAGCCCTCGGAGAGGTGTTCGTGCTTCATAGGCTAGCTCTCTCTCAAAAGATTCTCTCACTCCCTTTACGCTTGCCCTTCGCCTCTACTCGTTCCCTCTTCTCCTTCTACTTCAACTTTTTTCTCTCTCTTCTCTTGTCTCCTCTTTGTTATCTCAGTTCATCTATTAACTTCTCTTTCTCTTCTTCCCCTTCTCAATTCATCTATTAACTTCTCTTTCTCTTCTTCTCTCTTCTTCCCCTTCTCAGTTCATCTAAAACTTTGTGTCATTAACAAAATTTAAGAAACAGCTTTAAGCAATATCTCATCCAGGTACTTCATTAAACCCATCTCAAACCAAGCTTAAAATAGAAACCTTAAGTTTGCAGCTATTATACAGAATTACTAGTGAGTTGCACACAGTTGCACACAAAATTTATAACATTAAAGAATATAAAGATGCCCACTAATCTAAAAGTAAATATAAATAAAAACACATTTCCAACAAATGCACAATGAAAAACATAAACTAAGCACAATCCACTAGCCTAACAAAATGAGAAAAGAAAAAGGGGGGGCACACCAAACATTGACACTTCAAAAGAAGAAAACCTATTTAAGAAGCCATACTACTAAACAAAACAAAATCCAAATGAAATGAAAATAAGTGTAGGTACATGTCTCTAAATTTCCCACGTAGCAGGCCACGTCACACTGGGGGTTGACCCAAACCACCCCTTCATATCATTAGGCATGACCTGAACCATGTGTCCACTCTATACCTCGCCTCGCTCATTGCAATATGATTAGAAAGGCACCTTGATGTCGTAATGCCAGCCAAGGTCAGAAACACACACTAGGAACCCCCACTAGGTTGGTGTCTTGGTCATGGGGTGCTCGAGTCGAGATCGCCAGAGAATCTATAGAATAGAGGCTGGAGTTGAGGGTTGATCAAGGTTTCTCCCCATCCTCTTTCTTGAAAACACTTGCACATTGACCAATCTTAGAAACAAGAGAGGCATCCACAAGAAGACACGACTTTGACCAAGACGCATGAAACTTAAGGAGTTGTATCAACCTACCCACTGTAGATCCATGATATGAACCCAAGGTCTAAGAATTGATGCAACTAAGCCCAGGGATATGACTTATGAGGCACCTGTCCTTAGGCATAGGACACCGTGCAAGGGTAAGCTAGCCATATGGACCAATCCTCCTACAAAAGGAGGCCTCTGCCTTCACAAAAGGATATACGCAACAGTGGTAATCTCCTTTAAAGTTTGAACCTGCACTGCCACTCTCTCTTTCAGTCTAAGACCATCGCATCTCTCATCTCCTCCACCTTCGGCGATAACATGCTAACTCAATGTCTCAAGTGAAACTATCCAATCTTCACATCATTATACAAACTTGTCTAGAGTTTCACATCATTATAAAAACATGTCTAAAGTTTCACCATGCTTTTTCTAGGGAGTCATTTTACCAACTTACCATATGGCATTGGATGGCAATGAAGCTCCTACATGTTGGCGATTTGGTTAAACCTCCATAGATTCAATCGCATATTCATCCTTGTTATAGCCAACCAAGTTCATCAATAACAATATTAATTGATAACGCCTAGAAATGGAGTATTGTCAACATAGAAGACTTTATATTTGAATTCCATTGCAACCTTGAAAGTCTTCATATTTGGCATGAACTGATTAACTTTTTTAAAAGATTAAAAGTTTTACAGCATTACTCAACTCATTATCACCGATTAAAGGGTTCCCTTAGTCAGCATCAACAGCTGCACAAAAGAATTGATATGGTACAACTACAACTTTCTTCCTTAGTGATGAAATAATCGAACCACATTGTTCATACAACTTACCCAACATTTGTTGCTACAAAAACATATTTATATCTATACTACTACAAACGTCTCCAGAGATATAAATCTAATGTAAAATATTTAAAAATTCACACCAAAGAAAAAATTGATAACAAACCCTATAATTTAATTGCATCTTGTATGATCAACTATAAGGTTGCATTTGGATTTATGGATTTGAAATGAAAAGATTTTGGCACTAATGATTCAAGAAGCATAGCTCAACTTTAGCAATGATAGTTTTATTTGAATATAGAATTTGAGAGCCTTACCACGATGATGGATTTGAAAAAACAATATAAAAATAGCTATTTCAAAACCTTCGTATTAAGGGTTGTAGTTGTACAAAGATTATAGCAAAATACTTGCCCTATCTTCCCTTTTAGTTTTTCAATCAATCTATAAATAATAGCCAACTATCCTATACTTCTATAAAATTTAACCTTATCCAAGCAGAATCTAAAATCCATTAATTTGGTCTACAATTTCCTATTTTCAGCAGCTAGCTTCTCAAAATCCATTATTTATCTTCATGTAATGGCCTCATTTGGGAAGTAGCTACTTTTTTGACTTGTTGGTTATTTGGCTATTTTAGTAAGCTATTTTAGTTTTTGTATTTGGGAAGTTGGGTTGAATTTTTTGGTTGATTGTTGTATTGAAAAATGTGTTTGAAATTATGTTCGAGACTAAAATGACAAATTTATCCCTAACCTAAGACATTCAAAATTGGTCTTAAGGGGCAAAGTTGTCATTTACTACCAGTCGGGGTAGGCTGTCAACGTGACAGTGGCTTAGGCTGCTTTTTTTTTTTTTTTTTTAATATGTCATGTTCTTTTTTTGTTTTTTGTTTTTTGAGATTTAACATGGGAAGAGTAATGAGGATTGCAACTTCAAGGTGAATTTTACTTTTTCTTTTTTTTTTTTTTTCTTTTCTTTAAAAAAAATAAAAAATAAAAAATAAAAAAAATGGTTATTGAATAAACTGGAAAAGAAGGCAGGTTAAGATTTAGTGGTTCAAGTGCGACCTACTAGAATTGAACCATTACATAATAATGACACTCCCTCACTTCCAAATTGTTTGTCTATTTTCATTTGCCCCTTTAATCAGGTCAATAAATAATGTATTTTCATACAAAATTAAATTTGCTTTCACAAACTAAAAGAACTCAATGAGTTTTTGTAAATAAAGTTTTCAATATCATTAAGAAAAAGAAAAAAAATAAAAAAATATAGACGATTTTTTGGCCGAAAATGGGCACACAATTTAGCATGGAGAATATTACAAATACATTGAAAACAATCCGTGAAAATGGAATAAAATAAAAACATAAACAATAGTCCATTTAAAAAAAAAAATTCATCATGTTTAAAAACAAAAAAAAAAAAAAAACCTAATAATGTCCTTAAATTGTTCATAAACTTTGATGGATTAAACCGAAGATGGAACATGCACCAGAAATTAGTGACTACCAAAAAAACATTTTAAAAAAAAAAAGGAGCTCAAAACCCATATAACAGAGGATAATTCACGAACTAACTTCTGGTTCAGTATTCCCAAAGCTAGAAATCAACAAGGATTGGCTAATTACTATGCAACGATACGTTTTATTGAAAACCCAGAACTGTTATTTCTCCAATTGAATCATAAAACTTTGATGGATTAAACCGAAGATGGAACATGCACCAGAAATTAGTGACTACCAAAAAAACATTTTAAAAAAAAAAAAGGAGCTCAAAACCCATATAACAGAGGATAATTCACGAACTAACTTCTGGTTCAGTATTCCCAAAGCTAGAAATCAACAAGGATTGGCTAATTACTATGCAACGATACGTTTTATTGAAAACCCAGAACTGTTATTTCTCCAATTGAATACGGCGACAGAGAGAAGCTAGTACAGGACGAAGATCTAGAAGATCCGCACAACATATCAAAATTATACACAAATAACCTACATGCAACTGTGTACATGAATATAGATAGATAGATAGATAGATAGATGAAATGAAATGGAATCAAAAGAGAGAAACCTGGGGAAAATGGAGAGCAATCGTGAAGGAAATGAAGTGCTTTTTTCCCAATCCGCAACGTGTTGGCTTCCAATCAGAGGAACGAGTGAACTGTCTTTCGAACCCTAGCTAACCACTGTCTCTTATATAGATCCTAATTTAAAGAGTTCGTGCTATTATAGTACGTTTAAAGTGAAGTTTATCAATTATTCATTTTAATTAAAAGATTTAAATATAAATGTTAGGAATTTTAAAAAATTTATCGAAATTTTATTAAATGTCTTATATAAGTTTGTGATTATATGGAATTTATATTGTATAAGTCTCACACTCATGTGAGATATTTAATATAAATTTTGATAGAATTTTTGGGTTCTCTAACATTACTCAAATTAAAAAGTCATTATAAGTTGTCATATTACTCTTTCTATTTTTCTGAACATTTTTTCGTAAAAAATCAAAAAATTTCTAAAATAGTCTATTCCCAAACAAGATCTAAGCTTTAGAATAAATTATTAAATATATAATGAAATTATATTATACGATATATATTATTTTTTTATTTGTTATATGATGTAGATTTTGGGTGAATTTATAGGTTTTTAATATTTCTTCTGAATTTATTAAAAAAATTAAAAAATTTGATGTGTAACTTTTTTTAACATATAAATCTAAAACAAATACTAAGACAATTTACTGAACTAATAAAGAAGTAAAAAAAAAATACCTACAAATGATTAATTTTTTTAATAGATAAATCATACTTGCATAACAAATGAAAAATTTTATTAATAAGTAAATCATTAAGCAAGTTAATAATTTTTAATGATATGAAAAATATTTTTCAGTTAACCATTTTGTTAATAAATAAAATCATTAAGTTAATTAACAATTTTTAATGATATAAGAAATATTTTTCAAAAAATAATTTTTACAATTTATGATTGCATAGTTCTTTTGAATTTATTAAAAAAATTAAAAAATTTGATGTGTAACTTTTTTTAACATATAAATCTAAAACAAATACTAAGACAATTTACTAAACTAATAAAGAAGTAGAAAAAAAATACCTACAAATGATTAATTTTTTTAATAAATAAATCATACTTGCATAACAAATGAAAAATTTTATTAATAAGTAAATCATTAAGCAAGTTAATAATTTTTAATGATATGAAAAATATTTTTCAGTTAACCACTTTGTTAATAAATAAAATCATCAAGTTAATTAACAATTTTTAATGATATAAGAAATATTTTTCAAAAAATAATTTTTACAATTTATGATTGCATAGTAGAATAGTTTTTTTTTTTCCTCTAAGTATTGTGTTAAATTAAAATTTATAACAAATGGTAGCTACAATTTTTAGTATTATACAACCAATTCATATTTTAAACAAAACTTATGGGTGTATTTGTAATTTGTTAAAAAATAAAATATTTATATTTCATAATTGACCAAGAATATTTGTATAATTATGCAAAAACCTGTTTCATAATTGACTAAGAATGTTTGTGTAATTACAGAAAAAAATCTGTTGCATAATTGATTAAGAATGTTTGCATAATTATAAAAAAATAAATAAATAAAAACATTCATTCAACATATAGGTCATTATTAGTAAATTATTCAAAATAAAATGACAGAGGAAAGATGGTTAAAAGTTGTTTTTTTGTGAGAGAGGGAAGTGGGTTAAAAGCTGGGAAGTGACTTTTAACACACTTCCTAAAATAGGCCAAAATTGAAAAAAAAAGACGAACCTCAAGAAACTAAATGGTTCTTATATATGTAGATATATATAAATACATCTAAATATAATTCAAATAATTTTACTATTATTCAAATACCAATAAATCTCAAATAGTAATCTTATAAATTATTTAATCTTTTCTTTTTTCTTATGGACTTAAAAGTTCCATTATAGTATGATTCAGATAATTTCACTATTATTCAAATACTAATAAATCTTAAATATTGATCTTATAAATTGTTTAGTCTTCTTTTTTTTTTATAAACTCAAAAGTCTCATTATAATATGAATTACATAAAGGATTAAGCATAAATACGTGTTATTTGTTGGGGAATAAATATGGGTTTTCACATAATGTTAAAATTAATGAACATGGTGTATTTTTTTCAAATGTAATATCTTAATGTAATACTCCAAAAATATAACACTCCAATATAACACTAAAAAACTCTTTAGTGTACTTTTTTCAAACGCAACATTCTAATGTAACATACTAAAAAACTTCTTAGTGTATTTTTCACAAATATAACACTCCAATAAATGTAACACACAAAAACTCATTAGTGTATTTTTTTTTTCCAAACGTAACAATATAACACTCTAATGTAACACCAGAAAAACCACATTAATAGAAATGTAGATTTTCATACTCATCAACTAATATTTCAACCACCAATTCCCCCAAAAAAAAAATTCACATCTCACATTTGTATTCTCATCTCAAAAATGAATCAGAAAATTAGAAAAATAAATCACAAAAAGACATTTATTTAAATTTAAATGGCTCTAAATCAAATAAATCTAACTTCTCAAAACAAAAATGGCTAATTGGTTTATAAGAAACCTCTTAAAACAAAATGGATCAACATTCCTCCATATAAGATTTAGACGTAAATTTTTTTTCAAACTATAGTATTTATTTTTTTAGTCACTTTCATAAGATTTAAAGACAATTATAATTATACCAACCTCCAAGTTTTAATTCATTTAATAATTGAATTTTATTTTATTATTAATTCGTAAGTTGTGTGGATAAAAAAATATGATTGTCTCTATAGTTTTAGAAACTACAAATACTCTTTATTATAATTTATTATTTAACAGAAGTAATAGAAAAAATAAAATTTATAATTATTATTCTATATAACAATGAAATTACCAAAAATTCTTAATTAAAAATATTATTTTATGATCGAGTGTCCAGATTAGTTGGATTAGTTTATGCGCACCTCAATTAATCCGGAATCCATACAAAATGCTCTGTCCACGTAGATCGGACAAATCACGAGTAGAGCGACTAATCCGGGATCCACACATAGCGTCCCCTCTACGTGAATCAAATAAATCTTGAATAGAGTCTGCAAACATATTTCCAAGGAGCAAATTACTCCTAATAGAAATTAAACTTGAGAGTAGATTACTCCTAACAGAAATTAAACTTGAGATTTGAAAGGAGTACACCCCTAAATCTCAAGTTGCATCCACTAAATTAATTCTTATAATTATTTATTAAAAATTATTAGTTAATTTAATGATAGATTAATAAAGTACTTTTCAATAAAATTGACGTTCGCTCTATTATTACTTCTTTCTCGAGGGAATTCTTCGGCTAAGCCGGTGCCCATATTTGTGGAAAACAAAGGACCATTCACTTTTTGTGATCGGTCATTTGTAAATTTTGTATTCAAATTTGTAGGAGGAGAATTATTTAGCACACTAACGTTTTGTTTATTTTAGATAAAAAGTATTTTTTATGTTTGTTTGTGTTTGGTATAATTAAAAGTAAAAGTTAACAAAAAATATTTTCATAATTAATAAAAAAAACGAGGCTTATTTAGACAAAGAAATATTTTTCATTTTTAAACACAAAAAAAAAAATTCAAATTAAAATTTTATCAATGTCACTATACTATCATCGCCACTCTTACCTCAACCATCAGACCACCTTCACCCCAGGCCGGTGAATCTAGGAAGGGATCAGGGCACATGCCCCTTAATGTTGTAATTTCTTTTATATATAAGGAAAATAATTAATAAATAAAAATTTATATAAAAATAACATTTAGAATAATTTCTTAATAGTATTTTTAAAATGAAGAAACTACAACCAACTACATTATTATGTACAACAATTTTGTACAAAGAAAAAAATAATCAATATAACAGTGATACCACATCACTTACATGTAATAGCTAACCTCACTATAAATATGTGAAATTATTGAATTTTTAATTATATTTGACGAGTGAGATTAACCTTTCGTGTATTATTTTATTATTGGTTAGTGATACCATATATTGATAATGATGTGGTATCACTATTATTTGTGTATTATTATATAATTTATCATAAGACATACAAGACTTTTTTGCATTGCCTATAATATACTAGTTACAAGTAACACTATATTTTCTGATTTTGATATTTCACAAGGTCAATTGTCAAAAATATATATTAAAACTTGTATATTAAATATTAAGATTTTGTGCTTAATATTAATATAGAAAATTATTATCTATTGTTATTGATTATGAAGCAAAAAAAATTGAAATTGTAATTAATAAATTCCCTCTCTAAACTATTTTTTTGACTCCGCCACCGGCCACCACCACTATTACCACCACCCCACCATAATGACATCACATCCACCTCCACCTTCATTCCACCACCACCACCACCAATCATAGAAAAATATTTTTTCTAAAAAATATTTTCTGAGAAAATTAGCATAAAAAAATATTTTCTATTATTTTTTTATTTTTTATTTTACCTGAACAAACGAAGCATAAATATTAATTGATAGGTTCAATATTTATTATTCACCCAAAAAAAAGTTCAATATTTACGAAAGCCGATTTTGAAATTATTAGTATACTACAAAACTAAGAAAATCAATCATCTTGTTTGGTTTTAATTAATATTTTAAAAATTAATTTTTTTTATTTTTTGTATTTTTTTTAGCGAATTTTTTAATACTTTAAATATTTTTTTTACTTTTACATACACATAATTTAGATGCATATAAAAGGTAAAATATTTGTGAAAAAATATTTTAAAAATTCAATAAATAAACAAAAATATAAAAATATACTGAATTTTTATATATTTTATAATTTTTTGTGTTTGACGATTTTTTTAAAGATTTTTTTCTTAAATCTTTTACTTTTTAAATGTATTTAGATTAGGTGCATCTAAAAAATAAAACAATTTCTTAAAGTATTAAAATTTTTGACAAAAAACAAAAAACTTAATTTTCTAAACTAATCAGTGTGTTTGGTTTCTGTTTTTTTGATTAAGTGTTTTGAAAATTGAATTTTTTGTTTTTTGTATTTTTTTTAATGAACATTTTTAAAATTTTAAGCATTTTTTTTTTATATATTTTTAGATGCACCTTATTTAAATGTGTCTAAAACGTAAAATATTTGTGAAAAATATTTTAAAAAATTAATAAATACACAAAAATATGAAAAATATACTGAATTTTTGTTTTTTTATTTTTTGTATTTTTGGTATTTAGTGAATTTTTTAAAGATTTTTTCCACAAAAATTATACCTTTCAAGTATATTTATGTTAGGTGTGTCTAAAAATTCAAAAAAAATACTTCAAATGTTAAAAAAATTCAGTAAAAACAAAAAAAAATACAAAAATAAGACAGTAAAATTTTCTGAAAAGTGTTTTCACAAAACTAAAACCAAACAAGTTGAATGGTTTCTGAAATAGAACAATAAAAGTTCAAGGATCTCCAATGCCAGTAAATTAAAGTTTTTTTTTTTTTTTTTAGAGGGGTTTGGTGATAGACCATCCAATGTCTAACTTGTCATTCAAAAGGACAAGAATTATATGGATAATTTCAAAACCCCCGAATATTTTAAAATTTGTTTCTTTTACTATAATATATGTATGTGTGTGTGTATCTGATTGCAATCACTCTCTCTCATCTCAATCTCTCTTCTCGCTGTCTCGCTTTTATTACTGTTGCTCTTCATCAACGCCATCACCGCTCTCTACCGGTGCCACCGCCGCTCACAATGGAACCCTTTCTCTATCGTCTTCATCACCACTATCATTCATCGTATCCACAATCTCAAATCTAAGATCATTCACAGTTGTCGTCGTGGGAAAATTACGATTCCTGACAGTTCGCAAACCTAAGATTTGAGATCCTTCACTCTCTCACTCTCTGATTCTAATGGTTCATGCTCTCTCTCCCTCTTCTCATGATCCTTTATTTTCGAACTTTGTCTCCCTATTTCTTTTTCTTCTTCTCATGATGCTTTGTTCTTTGAACAATAACAATTTACTCTAGTTCACGACACAACTCTCTTGTAAAGCCATCGTAGCTCGTTTTAGAATAAAATTTTATTTTGAATCATGATAAACTTTACTCTTCAAAGTAAAATTTTACATTGTAATTAAAAATAAAATAAAATTTTACTCTGAATCAGAGTAAAATTTACTATGATTCAAAGTAAAATTTTACTATCATTAAGCAGATCAGCATATTGTTAATCAGAGTAAAATTTTGATGTTACAAAAAATAGAATACATACTAAATGAATGAATGAATTAGAGTCAAATTTTACTTTTAAATATATAAACAAAGAAATAAAAAAACTCTTGATTTTTCATTGCAATATCTCAATTTCTCATTTTTCTATCAAATCTAAGTTTTTTTTATTTGATCTAAAGTTATTGATCTTAAATATGAGTTCGTAGGTATCAAATTTAAGTTTTTTTTATTTGATCTAAAGTTATTGATCTTAAATATGAGTTCATAGGTATCAAATTTAAATTTTTTTTATCTGATCTAAAGTTATTGATCTTAAATATGAGTTCGTAAGTATCAAATCTAATATGGTAGTGGTTTGACGGTAAAAATTGTGGTTGCTAGCTGATAGTGAAGATGAGCAATGTCAGTAGACGATAAAGATGATGGAGACGATGAACAACCATCGAGTTGGTGAAGAGAGAGAAAAAATGTTATAAGAGAAAGAGAAGAAAAAGAGGATATAATGATCAAATAAAATATTCAAATAACAAATTTCATCCTTCATACATTTTCTTTTCAATCATGATTTATGTCTACTGTCTTTAAAAACAAAATTCTTTCTTTTTTTCTTTTTCCAAAATTAACATGGTATAATCTTTTAAAGATGGTCAAATATCATGTGGTTTTAGCCTTGCTTTTTTTGGTTTTTCCGAAGAACTTCAAAAACAAAAAAACATGATGTAAACCACAATGGCCCTACTACATTGAATAGAAAAGCCACGAAAGGGAAACTTAAAGAAGGGGAGGTTAATTCTTGTTGGCTTGAAATCCAGTTTCAAGTAATTCTAACTCTAATTCCATGATTTTCCCTACTACACACTGTAAATCTCTCCAAACAGACTACGCACAAGAAAAGGGACTCACTAAAATGTATTCCCAAGCCAAACAACTTCGATTGAAAAAAAAAAAACAAACAATCCCAGAAGACACTAACAGAAACCAAATTCATAAAATTTAAAAACTGTAATCTATAACTGTTATCATCGTCACTGATATAAAATCATTCTACATTCACAATGGCACATAAAAATTTCGGAGTAAATATTGGTTGCCTCAAAGAATATGCTAAACCAACTACGAGCAACTAAGTAACTCAAATGAAAAAAGTCTATGAAATGTGCCCATGACAAAATCACACCACTGCCGTATAGAGAGACAAACTGGTCCCGCAACCATCTCTCAGGCAAACCTGTAACCAAACAGTATGTAGATAATTAAATATATAAATAGTTAAAGAAAAAGGATAAATAAAAATCAACAAGTAAATAAATCTTCGGCAGATCCAAGAGGAAACTCGAGCAATCTCATCGAAAATGGAAAAAAGGAATCACCACAAAGTGGTCGCTTTCAAACTTCTCTTATACTTGAGAGTCCAAGATTTCACAAAAATAAAAAAATAGTATATAATACATCGCTTGCTGTTTTATTTCAATAAAATACATGTAACCAAAAACTCACTAAAATCTGCATACTTCAAAACCATAGAAACCAAATCTTCTAACTAGCATGCTAAAGGATGCTTTCTATCACATGTTTACTCGAACAATTTCCTTGTCAGCAACCAAATAATTTCATGATGCAACTTTTTCCCATAAATCAGTTTTCTTCTGGCCAAGTACTAAGACCTCGTTAGGGGTTTGGCATTTTTAGTGACCTTTTTGCTTTGAAAAATGTTACATATAATCTTATTTCTTCTTTTCTCATTCCAAGACACAAGTGGGTGGGTTCCATATGCATTTATGAAAGTGGAACCCATTGCTTTTGTGTCTAGGAGTGAGAAAATGAGGTAAGAAATGAGATTATGTATAGCATTGCTCTTTGGCTTTTTGACATTTTGTAAGGTGAAAAAAGTTAAATATGTTTAGGAATAACTTTTTTTTAGTCATACGAAAAACAGGAATGTATATAATTGGCTTTTTTAGAGGCCTTTGACTTTTTTTAGCTTTTCAATTTTTTTAGCCTAAAAGCTAAGTTTCCAAATGAGGCCTAAATAAGGTTTGACTATGAACACTACATACCACCCAACTCAAGGGGAAAACACTTAAATTTCAATGAATCAATATCACAGTAGGAACCTAGCATCTTATGTGAATCTATCAGAATAATGGCATCCTTCTCATAGTTTTGAATTTCAGTTATATGAGAAAACCTAAAAGCTAGCATTCCAAAATATATGTAGCCAACGATTTTCAGTAATGGTCCCATTTAAGCGATAAAATTTTACTTCAAATGACAGAAAATGGCAATGGGGCCACTCAAATTAACTGGTACATCCAACCCGCATCCTGAATGGATCTCACTTGATGCAAATGATTCAGATGAACTATTCAATGCATTTACAACAAGAC